GACACCGTCCGATCAGCGGCTGGCCGTCGATTATTTGTTGCAGAGGTCACGTATGTGAGTTTGACTCGTCATGCATTGTCCCACTACGGCCGCAACTGATTTGTTTTTGCTAGCAACGCTTCGGCGTTTCGGCCGATGTCCAATGTCCGGTGTCAGAGCTCTGCAGGGTTTTGAGGGGATACGGCCTCACGCGCCCTGCCCAAACGAGCACAGGCACGCGCGCTTCGCCGCATGAGCCTGCACTGGTGCCTCGCTCGCTCGCTCGTGCGTCCTCTTTTTCTTCCTTGTCCTCTTCGTCCTTCGTCCGCCTCCTCCTCTTCTTCCTCGTGGTCCTCCTCGTCCTCTCCTCCTCCTCCTCCTCCTCCTCCTCCTCCTCCTCCTCCTCCTCTCCCACCCCTTCCTCCTCCTCCTCCTCCTCCTCCTCCTCCTCCTCCTCGTGGTGTTCCTCGTCCTGCCCCTCCTCCTCTTCTTCCATTCCTTTTCCCGATGAAGAGCTCCTCCCTGTCGCACCCCGAGGTCGGTCGAAAGGGCGGGTTCTGGGCATCTCGCTGGAGACTTTCTCACCGTTTATGATCAGTAATTTTGCATTAGGGCGGGTGGTTTTCAAAATGTGGCTCTCGCTCTAGCGCCGCGCACATTTTTCATATTAAAAAGTATGTATGTGTGTGTGTGGTGAAATGTGACAGTTTCACGGATGGAGGGCGGGCCGTTTTCAAAATGTGGTTCTCGTCTGAGCGCCGCGCACTCTCGTGGTAAACATTTGCAAAGGCTTCGCGGATGGAGGGCGGTTCCTTCTCATCATGTGTTGCTCGTCTTAGGGCCGCGCGCAATTGTTTAAAGAGTTCATGGCAGTTTCAAGGATTCTCGTGGTAATCCTCCCAGAAATGGTGTTTTGGCATGATGTCGGACTGCCAGGGCGCAGCCGTTCCGTTGATTCGTGGTGTTGAAGTACCAGGAGCGGTGTTCTGGCACGAGTCAGGATCGTCAAGACGCAACACTAAAGGTGATTCGCGGCGTTGGAGTCCCTAGAATGGTGTTCTGGCAAAGTTCAGAATGTTCAAACGGTTGTCTTCCAACGGGGCACCTCCAGTGAAAATGAATTCCTGTAGGGGCCTATGACGAGGGCGCTTGGAGGGAGGGTTGATTGCAATATCGTTGATGCGTCTTGGGTTTGCACTGGTCCTCCTCCTCCTCCTCCTCCTCCTCCTCCTCCTCCTTCTCCTCCTCTCCCTCTCCCTCCTCCTCCTCCTCGTGGTCCTCTTCGTCCTCTCCCGCTCCTGAGCTTCAGGTGGTTGCCCACCCGCTGCCCTCCAAGGCCGAGAAGGTCGAGACGGTCGGCTGCAGGCCCGCGACGAACCGCTGGAGGTCGCAGTTCACGCAGGCGGCCTCGACCGGATCTCCGGGCCGTTCACAAACAGCCATGTCTTGTCCGACCCCTTATCTAGTAGGTGCATTGACTGCAGGGCCTCGATGGCAGGAGTGGTCATGGTGCCGATGTTTTCGAGCCCTCTAAGATGGGGCTTGCCACTCCCCTCTCACCCCCTCTGGCTGACCTGGGCTTGGGCGCTGCGAGGAGCTGACCCCCTCCCCCCCAAATCCGCTTTCCCGATCTGGACCAGCGTCGCGACGTGGCGCGGGCTGACCCAGGGGTTACAGACGGCAGCTCTTGGATAGCGCGTCGCTCCGCAGGTTCTGGCCCACCATGCTTCGGTGCGACACGCTATCCAGCTCCCCGCCCCCAGGCGTCAACATCCTGAGCTTTCCCGAGCCTCGCGCCCCGCGGAGCGCAGCGACAGGCTATCCACTCTCAAGGTACAGTCGGGGCCCTGAAGAAGGAACCCTTTTCGTTGGGGAGGGGCTCGGTGCTCCTTGATTGTTCTGCAGTTTGTCTCCGGCTTTCCTGAGGTTTTCCATGGGACATCGAAGTTCAATTTGTGGTGGGAGAAAGGGGCCTCGTTCCTTATTTAGAGTTCCTTAGGTCAACGCCCCGACGGTATAGCGTGTCGCCGGGGTCGCCGTGGCGACACGCTGTCCAACGAATCCTTACCGCACGGCAGCAAAGCACCATCCACCTCTCGGCCCCGAGGCGTCAGCGCTGCGCTTCTCTTCCTGGCCTCCCGCCCTTTTCGGGGCGGAGCGACGGCACGCGATCCGCTCCTGGGGCACAGCGCGTCGCTGGGGGGCCGCCGCCCCGACACGCAAAGCAAAGGTCCCCGACCGCAGGAGCGGTTTGGGCTGGCGCGCCCCCGAGCGTTGCATGGCGTCGGGCCGAGGCACAAGGGCCGGGGCCTCCTTGGGGATGGTGCCCTGTTGTTCTCCGTGCTCGCCGCATTCTCCCGTGCACCCCCCGGGGGAGGGTGCCCTTGGGATGCTCCCAGTGCCTTGGCCCGTGGGAGGTCCTCCTCCTCCTCCTCCTCCTCCTCCTCCTCCTCCTCCTCCTCCTCCTCCTCCTCCTCCTCCTCCTCCTCCTCCTCCTCTCGTGCTCTTGCAGGACGCTCGTCTGCCTCGGGTCCAGCCCTGGCGCGCCCCCCGAGCGCTGGAGGCAGCGAGGAGGCCCTCTGCCCGAGGGCCGGAGGCTCCCGCCGCCCCCAGGGCCCGCCGAGCGGGGCACCTCCCGTCGAGCCAGACACGCATCCCGGGCTCCTCGGGCAGCGGGCCCTCCTCCGGTGCTTCTGGCGTGCCCGCGCAGTCGGTTCGGGGGTCGGGTTCGCGTGCTGCCCGGCGGGTGCCCAGGCCCCGGGGGGAGCCCTCGTCGTCACCCCGCGCCTCCTCTCTCCTCTCCTCTCTGGACCTCCCCCTCCATCTGCCTCTCTTTCTCTCGGTCTCTCTGTCTTCCCTACCTCTCTCTCTATCACTCGCACTCTCCCTCTCTCTCTCTCCCTCCTCCTCTCTCTCTGTTTCTAATTATGGTTATCCTCTCTCTGTCTCTGTCTCTGTCTCTGTCTCTGTCTCTGTCTCTCTCTCTCTCTCTCTTTCTCCCTACCTCTCTCCCTGTCTTTATCTCTTCTTGTTCTCCTTCTCCTTCTCTCTCGCTCTTTCCTTTATGTTCCCAATTATCCTATGGTGTTGGGTCTTCGTTTTAAAGAGAGAGCGCCCCGCGTTCCTCTCCTCTCCTCTCCTCTCCTCTCCTCTCCTCTCCTCTCCTCTCCTCTCCTCTCCTCTCCTCTCCTCTCCTCTCTCTCTCCTCTCCTCTCTCCTCTCCTCTCCTCTCCTCTCCTCTCCTCTCCTCTCCTCTCCTCTCCTCTCCTCTCCTCTCCTCTCCTCTCCTCTCCTCTCCTCTCCTCTCCTCTCCTCTCCTCTCTTCTCCTCTCCTTCTCCTCCCCCTCCTCCCTCCTCCCATCCGCCTCGTCACCTCCGTACGTTTCACCCACCCAGGACAGCGTTTCGTGGCCCCATAGGGAGCTCCACCGAAGGCTCCAGTGTCACAGGCCGCATGCGTCACCGCCACCCAGGACAGCATTTCGTGGCCCCATAGGGCGCTCCACCGAAGGCTCCAGTGGCACAGGACGCATGCGTCACCGCCACCCAGGACAGCGTTTCGTGGCCCCATAGGGAGCTCCACCGAAGGTACCAGTGGCACAGGCCGCATGCGTCACCGCCACCCAGCACATCGTTTCGTGGCCCGATAGGGAGTTCCACCGAAGGCTCCAGTGGCACAGGCCGCATGCGTCACCGCCACCCAGGACGGCGCTTCGTGGCCCCATAGGGAGCTCTATCGAAGGCTCCAGTGGCACAGGCCGCATGCGTCACGGCCACCCAGGACAGCGTTTCGTGGCCCCATGGGGAGCTCCATCGAAGGCTCCAGTGGCACAGGCCTCATGCGTCACCGCCACCCAGGACAGCGTTTCGTGGCCCCATAGGGAGCTCCACCGAAGGCTCCGTCACCGCCACCCAGGACAGCTTTTCGTGGCCTTATGGGGAGTTGAACCGACGCATGCGTCAACGCCACCCAGCACATCGTTTCGTGGCCCCATAGGGAGTTCCACCGAAGGCTCCAGTGCCACAGGCTGCGTGCGTCACCGCCACCCAGGACAGCGTTTCGTGGCCCCATAGGGAGCTCCACCGGAGGCTCCAGGGGCACAGGCCGCATGCGTCAACGCCACCCAGGACAGCGTTTCGTGGCCCTTTAGGGAGCTCCACCGAAGGCTCCAGTGGCACAGGCCGCATGCGTCGACGCCACCCAGGACAGCGCTTCGTGGCCCTATAGGCCGCTCCACCGAAGGCTCCAGTGGCGGTGTCCACATGCGTCCGCGCCACCGGTTTCGGCGCGCCCCTCGCACGCTTCGTGGCCCCATAGGGAGCTCCACCGAAAGGGGTACCCACAATGCGGCACTCGCAGCTGCATATGGTTGGGTCCGTCGTCAGGCTAATGTTGTTTCTCGTTTTGTCTCTCTGGACAAATGTTTATGTACACTTGTCTATTTTTATATCTCTCTCGTTCTCTCTCGCAGCTGTCGCTGTTTCCTCTAGAGTCTTCTATGCTCTCTGTGACCTCTGGCTCCCTTCCGCCCTAGAGCAGCAGCAGACGTTCTCCGCGGCATCCTCACTTGTCCGCAAAGCCGCCACTGGCCACGCAGTCTCAATCACATGGCAGGTCTGCCTTGCATCCCACTGCTGCCTACCCCCCCCACTCCTGCTTCCTTGGGCAACTTCTCCTTCTCCGTTTCTCTTGTCTGTCCGTCTGTTTGTGTTTCTGTGTCTCTTTTTTTGTTTCTCTCTCTCTCTCTCTCTCTCCATCTCCCGCTCAGCATCCATCCATCTATCTCTTTCCCTCTGCCATCTTCTCTTCCTCTCTTCCTCTCTTCCTGTCTTTTTCTCTCTCTCTCTCTCTCTTTATCTCTGTTTTTGTCTGGTTGCCGCGTGGAGGTGGCACTCCCCTTCTGGATGGCGGCGGCCTCGACAGCCTGCGACCCGCGCTGGGGGCTGCGGTCGCCAGGTGGCTCGTCCCGCCGGCAATGGCAATCGATGGCGGGTCCCGTCCCGCAGCCCGCAGGTCGGACCAGGGCAGTGAACGGCAGAAGGGAGGAGGACGCCCAGGACGGTATCAAGACGAGGGTGGTGAGCAATATGATGACGATGAGGACGATGATGATGACGATGATGGCGATGGCGATGACGAGGACGAGGACGAGGACGAGAACGGTGACGATGATGATGGTGATGATGGTGATGATGATGCTTTGATGATGAGTATAACGACGACGACACCGACGACGAGGTCCATGATGATGCTGATAGGGATGCTGATGCTGCTGGTGATGAAGATGAAGATGAAGATGCTGATGCTGATGCTGATGATGATGACGACGATGATGACGATGATGCTGCTGCTGACGATTCTATAGGCTTACGCCACATCCGCCGACCCCTCATCTTGGCGGTCTTGCCGGCTCGCTTGAATCGGGCTGGGGAGTCGTGTAGGGGTCCATAATGACCTCTCTTGGGGCCATGTGGAATCCGCTTGGGGTCATCTCGACGCTCTGGGATCTCTTGGGGGGCTTCTCGCGGGACTCTTGGAGGCAGTTTCGAAGCCTCTTGGGGGCCGTTTTGAGGCCGTTTTGTAGCCTCTTGGGGGCCTCTTGGGGCCTCTTGTGGGCGTCTTGGGGGCCTCTTGGGGCCTCTTGGGGCCTTCTGGGGCCGTCTTGGGGCGGAAGGCTCGAATTGTCGGTTCGGGCTCCCCCTCTTGGGCACCTTTTGGGGCCGTCTTGGGGCCCTCTTGGGCTGTCTTGGGGGCCTCTTGGGCCGTCTTGGCGCCCTCTTGGGCCGACTTGGGCGCCTCTTGGGGGCCTCTCGGGGCGGTCTTGGGGTGCTCTGGGACCGTCTTCAACGCCGTGAAGGCCGACAGGTAGTATATGATCAAAATGTACGTTTTCCCATAGGAATTTGACGATTTTCGGCGCTTCGGCCCTTCTCAGGACTGCTCTTGGAGGCCTCTTGGGCCGTCTTGGAGGCCTCTAGGCTCGTCTTGGGGGCATCTTGGGCGTCTGGGAGCGCTCGTTTGGCGCCTCGGAGCTCTCGTGAGCCGTCTTGGAGGAGTCTTGGGGCCTTCTTGGCCCGTCTTGATCCCCTTTTGGGCCCAAAAGAGCCCCGTGATGCGCTCGTGGTGGGCCCGGGGGGGGGGGGTTCGAATCTCCGGTTTGGGGTCCCAGGGGGGGGGTTAGGGGGGGGGAACTATCTCACACGCCTAGAGACCCACAAGGGGTCGGCGGATTACGATACTGATGATGATGATGATGATGATGATGATGATGATGATGATGATGATGATGATGATGATGATGATGATGATGATGATGATGGTGGTGGTACTGTTGATGATGATGATGATGATGATGATGATGATGATGATGATGATGATGATGATGATGATGATGATGATGATCATGATGGTGTTGATGATGATGATTTTGGAAGTGGTGCTGGTGACAGTGGTAATGCCGCCGCCGATGACGATTATGCTGATGACGATGATGTTGATGATGACGATGATGCTGATGACGCTGATAGTGATGATGACGATGACGATGACAACGACGACGACGACGACGATGATGATGATGATGATGATGATGATGATGATGATGATGATGATGATGTTGATGATGATGATGATGATGATGATGATGATGATGATGATGATGATGATGATGATGATGATGATGATGATGATGATGATGACGATGACGACGAGGACGCAGAAGAGGACGAGGAGGAGGAGGAGGAGGAGGAAGAGGAGGAGGAGGAAGATGAGGAGAAGGATGAGGAGGAGGATGGACACGGGGGAGGAGGAGGAAGGAGGACGAGGAGGAGGTGGAGGATGAAGAGGGGGAGGAAGATGATGATGATGAGAGGAGGAGGAGGCTGAGGAGGAGGAGGAGGAGGGGAGGAGGAGGAGGAGGAGAAGGACGAGGTGGAAGAGCAGGGGGCCTGGGAAGGGGGAGGAGGGGGACGCGGATGTTGGAGACTGGGGGAGGAACGGTGGAGATGGGCGAGGAGGAGGAGGGAGGACGAGGATGGGCTGGATGAGGGGACAGGCGGGGAGGCGCCTCCCGCCACCCGCGCGGCAAAGGCGACCACGCCGTCCTCGACCGGGGCGGCCTTCTCGGTACTCTTCTGCTCGCTCCTGGTCCGTGGCGGCGCCCAACAAGGGGGTGGCTCGAGGGGGGCGGGCTTCCAAGCGGGCGGGGTGGGCTTCCCGGAGGGCAGGCGGCCTCTCGGGTGCCCTCCTGAATTCCGGTGGGCCCCCTCAGCAGCCGCGGGAAGCCGCCGGGAATCTTGGGATCTTGGGATCCAGGACGCCCTGGATTCCAGGATTCTGGAAGCCGCAGGAAGCCTCCAGGGGGCTTCCTGGATTTTAAGAAGACCCCAGCTTCTGAGACCTCCCCCCCCTGCCCCGTCAGAAGCCCATGCCCCTCGCGCCAGCCCCCCTGTCGCCGCCGAGGTCACCACGGCGTGCCTGAACTTCTGGCTCGCCTACGCCGGCGTGTCCGTGCTCCACTGGCTCCGCTCGCAGGGCCCTGGGGGTCATTTGGGGGGTGGGCCCGGGAGCTGCCTCGTGTGCGTGCGTGGGCGGGCCCCTCTGTCGGTCCCGTCCCTCTCCCTCTCCCTCTCCCTCTCCCTCCTTCCCTCCCCTTCCCTCTCCTCCCTCTCCTCCCTCTCCTTCCCTCCCTCTCCTTTCCTCCCCTCCCTCCCCTCCCTCACCTCCCTCTCCTTCCCTCCCTCTCATCCCTCTCCCTCCCTCCCCTCTCTCCCGTCACTCTCCTTCCCTCCCTCTCTTTCCGAATGCACATGCGTACTACTCTCCTCTCTCCCCTGGTGGCGTCCGGGAAATGTCTCTGCCCCTCCACGCACTGGTTTGTTACACAGGATTCCCGGGAGTTGGGTTTTCGCTTGGGTTTTCTTTCGAAATACTGCTCTCGCTGAAGTGCTGGCCTCATTTTCGGGCTACCGCTCGTTCCGAATCGTGGTCCCACTGCAGCGCTGGCCTCATTTCCGCGCTTCCACTCGTTCCGAATCGTGCTCCCGCTTTAGCGCTGGCGTCATTATTTCCAGGGCCATGCCACGGCATGTCTTTCGGTCCTTCCAAATAGGGCCCAAAATTTAGAAAATGGCCCCGCCGAAAAAACCATCGGAATTGAGTACACATTCGGTGCCGCCTCGTTGATTTTTGGGGCCAGAAGCCCTCCCCCCACTTTGGGGCGTCGCCACGCCATGCTATGTCAGGCTACGCGTCCTCATTTCCGCGCTTCCGCGCTTGGGTTTTCTTTCAGAATGCTGCTCTCACTGAAGCGCTGGCTTCATTTTCGGGCTACCGTGCGTTCAGAATCGTGGTACCGCTGCAGCGCTGGCCTCATTTCCGCGCTTCCGCTCGTTCCGAATTGTGCTCCCGCTGCAGCGATGGCGTCATTATTTCCAGTGTCATGGGGCGTCGCCACGCCATGCTATGTCATGATACGCGTAAATCTTCAACACCATGCTATACCATGTAGTGTTATGCCATGCTACGACATCCGATTGTGCGAACAGGGAGGATATCTACGCCATGGTAAGGGATGGGACGAAGGGGTAGGACGTCATATATGACGCGAGCGCACCTAGCTTACCTCCCCTCCCCTCCCCTCCTTCTCCTTCCCTCCCTCACCTTCCCTCCCTCTCCTTTCCTCCCTCCCTCCCCTCCCTCTCCTTCCCTACCTCTCATTCCCTCCCTGCCTCCCGTGCCTCTGCTTCCCTCTCCTCTCTCCCTTTTCTCCGCTCCCTCTCCTTCCCTCCCTCTCTTCCCTCTCCCCCCTCTCCCCTCCCCCCCCTCCCTCCTCTCCTTCTCCTCCCTCTCCCTCTCGTTCCCTCCTTCTCCTTCCCTCCCTCTCCTTCCCTCCCTGCCTCCCGTGCCTCTCCTTCCCTCCCTCTCCTCCCTCTCATCCTTTCCCTCTCCCCCCTCCCTCCCTCTCCTTCCCTCCCTCTCTTCCACCTCCCTCCCCCTCCCCTCCCTCTCCCCTCCCCCCCTCCCCTCCCTCCCCTCCCCTCCCCTCCCCTCCCTCCCCTCCCCTCCCCTCCCCTCCCTCTCGTCCCCTTCCCCTCCTCCCCTCCCTCTCCTTCCCTCCCTCTCCCTCCCTCTCCTTCCCTCCCTCTCCTTCCCTTCCCTGCCTCCCGTGCCTCTCCCTCCACTCCCTGTCTCCCCTCCCCTCTCCCCCTTCCCCCTGCCGCGTGCCCCCTCACACCGCCTGCCGACGAATGGGGCCAGCAGGAGGAGCTCGAGGATTCTCTCGGGCGCAGCAGCCCGTCCAAGGCAACCTGTACGCTTGAAGGGGTCCACGCACCAGGAGCAGGAGTAGGCTGTGAGATCGCGGGAGCGAGACGCAGGAAGCGGAGAATCGGGAACGGGAGACGGATGATCAGGAGTGGGAGCATGATTAGCAGCAGCGGGAGCAGGATGCTGCTGCTGCTGCTGCTGCTGATGATGAGGAGGAGGAGGAGGAGGAGGAGGAGGAGGAGGAGGAGGAGGAGGAGGAGGAAGAGGAAGAGGCGGAGGAGGAGGAGGAGGAGGAGGGAGGAGGAGGAGGAGGACCAGAATAATCCAAGTTTGCACAGGCAGTGCTGCGCTGCTGCAATGCACCCCCCTGCCCCAAGTCCTCACACACCCCTGCAAGTTTCCTTCGCACTGCAAGAAGCGCCTCCCTTGAAAGACCAGGGCAATTAGGCCTGCCATTTTTCCGAGGGCCCCAATGTGAAAAGGAATTGCTATGCATCCTACTGGCTCGTATTCAGGAGCCCGAGACTCAATGGGATACCTAGCGGTACCGCTCTTCCGAAGAAGATGGAATTGTTGCACAGGTTTGCACAAGCGGCCATGCACTTCGCAGAACTCTCAAGCGACACTTCGGAGGCAGAGAGCCTCCATGGATCCGCGCAGCGGCACGTGCTTTGAGGTTTCGTGGCTTTAAGCTTGACGAAGTCTCGAGTGCTCGCGGCGCCAGGGCGGCAGCCCCACTTCGATAAGGAACCGTCCTCCACCGAGTGTAAGCTTTTGAACCGACTGTGCGCGTCGCTGATGCGAGAAGTCAATGCTTGAAATGGCCCCCGGCGGTAGCCACACTTAACAGACGACCCCTGTGCGTCCGTGGCACGGACACAACCGTTTCAGACCACTGCGCGCGACGTTCAAGCGAGGGCCAGGTATTGGAAACGCCCCCCCCATCCAGTCGTGAAACGGGTGCAAGTGATTCAGACGAGTGCACGCGGCGTTAGGGCGAGGGCCAGATTTCGAACATGGGCCCGTCATCCATCCGTGAAACCGCTACAAACTTTTGAGTCGAATGTGCGCGGTTCTCCGGCGAACGCCGCATTTTGAAATCCGTTTTCTTATCCATCCGTGAAGGTGTTGTAATTGATTCGGACCAGTTTAAGCGGCGACACGACGAGAGCCACATTTTGGAAAAGAAGCGCCGTCCACCCGTGAGACGGTTGCAGAGGTCTCAGATAGATTTGTGCAGCCTTGGTGCCAGATGCATTCCCCAAAGGGTCTTTGCGCCTAGGGATTCTTATTTCTGTTCAAAAAGTGTGGGCCTCTTTATCGGTTTGGCGGCTATGTTGCCGCCGTCGCCGTCTCGTCGCCGCCTCGTCGCCACCAGTCGTCTGGGCCTGTTTGTCGGTATGGCGGCTATGTAGCCGCCGTCGCCGCCTCGTCGCCGCCCGTCGCGTGGGCCTGTCTGTCGGTCTGTCGGATAGGTTGCCACCGTCGCCGCCCCGTCACCGCCTCGTCGCCGCCCGTCGTCTGGGCTTGTCTGTCGGTCTGGTGGCTCTGTAGCCGTCGTCGCCGCCTCGTCGCCGCCTACATGGATTCTTTTTTCTGACAAGGAATTCGGATTTACCCTCCCCCCGGATTATCGATCCACCCTTGGAGTGTTCAGTTTACATATGATTCAACCCCTATCTTCCGTGCTTCTGAATATGAGTTCATACCATCCCAGCTAAAAGGGGCTCCCCCCCATCATCCTTGCAAAACAAACGCTATGCGCGCGCATTCGCTTATCGCAACCATCCGTTTGCAAGAACCCCTGTAAACAACCATGCCACACAGTGCACACGCGCGCGTCGTCGCGCGCGCATCCCAGAGTTCTTGAAACACCTGCGGGTTCGTAGATATTTCAAAAGCGAATGCTCCGAACACATGTAGGCAACACGTGGTTTGGCGACGTGATCCGTCACAGAAGTCGGCGCGTGCTTCTGGGAAGTCTTGCGAATACCATCGGTGGAAAACACATTTCCGTCCAATGCGACTAAACGTGCCTGTCGCGCGCGTGTCGAAATCATTCGAATGCCTTTGCGCGCGTGCTGGGGGGGGCACGATCCCTGTCGCAGGGTACCATGCGGGTCTCGAGCGCGTCGGCCGCGCGCGCGTGTCGAAATCTTTGGAAAACTTTCATCGCCGCCGCGTGGACACCATCATCGTCATTGGCGTGATCAGCATCGACGCTGTCATTGGCCTTGCCGTCGTCATCGTCATCACCTTCACCAGCATCGGTGCTATCGTCGTCGCGTTTGCCGTTGTCGACGTCGCAATGATACCGCGCCCGCCCGAGTCACCGATTCGCATTGAAGTGCCCGCGCGTCAGCGCGGCCTGCGAGACGCGCTTGGAAATGCCCGCTGGTCAGCGCCACCGCTGCCGCGTCGGTCGCGCCAGACTATCTGGCCGCTCTGCGCGCGAGCCTACGCGCGCTAGCGCGGCTGCAGCGATGCGCCAGCCGGCGCCGAGCAGTCATCGCAACCGCCGCGACGTGGGTTGTGCAAACGAAGTTGTGGGCGGGCGGGTGGGAAGATCGCGCGAGCAGTAGAGCTGGCAATTCAGGGCGGGCAGAACTATTTGCACCGCATATATTGCATCGCGTAGATTGGCCCACGCAGGTTGCGCCGCATAGATTGGATGGACCACATCGATGTTCATTTTTTTGTTTTTTTCATATAAAAAGGTTCTACCGCCCTCCCCCCCCCCGGACTTAGCGATTCCCCGGCAACCGATGCAAAACGCGTGTGGTTCTGAGCCAGACCAATATCGCCCCCCCAACCCCCTCGGTTCCCGTGCAACAAATATCATGCGCACGCGCATGTATCAAACATCATGCGTTTTCAGGAGTCCCTTGCAACGAATTGGACGGAGTGCATGCGCGCGCGTCGTCGCGCGCGCATGCCGAAATCCTCCAACGAACCCTTCAGGTTTTTGCCGTGCGGATTTTCAACAAAAGCGCGCGCGCCCTTGCGAATTCTCAAGAAAACCATAGCTTTTTCAACAATTTCACAACATGCTGCCAAACGGGCCTCTCGCGACGCATGCCGAAATCAGTCGAGCGCTTTTGCGCGCGTGCCGGGGGGTGGGGGGGGGTGGGGGGCGCGAGCCAGGTCAAATAATGCCGCGCGGCCACTCTCGCGCGTCGGCCCCGCGCGCGTGTCGAACCCCTTCCAAAACCTTCATCCCCGACGCGAGAACGCCGTCATCGTCGTCGGCGTG